CGTGCTCCTGAGGCAGGGGGCTGTGCCACGTGGGAGTGGGATGGCAGAGAACGAGTTCCCTTTGTCTAGTCCTCTCCCTAGGTGCAACGTTAACCCCAGACGTCTCCTTCCTGACTTCCTGGGTCACGTACTTTCCCTTTGTGTAGCACTGACCCCAGACGCCTCCTCCCGGTATCTGGGACTGACTTCCTGTGTCACGTACTCTCCCTTTGTCTATGCACTAACCCCAGACACCTCCTTCCTGTATCCGGTCCTAGCCTCCTGCGTCACCTCCTCTCCCTTGGTGCAGCGCTAAACCCAGACATCCCCTTCCGGTATCTGATCCTACAATCAATGACTAGTAGGTGGGCTGAGGAGGAGGGGCTAAGTAGGTACTTAAGGAACAGTAGGGATCAGAGCTCGTTCTCTCTTGCTCCTGCTCTCTTGCTCTGGCTTTCCTGCTTGGCCTTGCTGCGATGGTTTCTGAATAAAGCTCGAGTGTTTGCACCTCCTGATCGGCTTGTCTCTGTGTTTATCCGGGTGGGCACCGAAGACTGGTAAGTATGACTCTGGCAGCCTGTTCCTGATAGGAGGAGAGGCATGGTGCAACCAGCACAGAATTTGTTTTTTGGTGTTTGTGCTGGTTTTGTATTGCTTTCTAAGCCTTAGAATGACCTTTATCCAAATGCAATGGAATCCAATTTGTACATGAAATTTCAAGTCATTGACCGAACCACAGCATGGATTGAGATGGATAATAGCTACATTGTCCAGTAGACACCACTGTGTATCATCAATCCAGACCCACAATATATGCCAATACTAGAGTATGGGGCCAATGCTGTAGAACAGACAAGTCTTTGCATTATTGTACAAGAGTTTGACAAGAATTTTTTTTTTTTTTGGTGAGGCAATTGGGGTTAAGTGACTTGCCCAAGGTCACACAGCTTGTACATGTCAAGTGTTTGGTCTGAGGCCGGATTTGAACTCAGGTCTTCCTGACTTCAGGGCTGGTGCTCTATCCACTGTGCCACCTAGCTGCCCTTGACAAGAGTTTTTAATGGGAAATAACCTCTGGCAGATAAAAACCATCCACATACTCAAGTTAAATGCAAACATCTAGTATTGAATTTCTTCTACGTAAGATCAAGCATATTACTTGAGAATGATAGTTCTACACTGAAGAGGTTCCTAATAATGGTTCAGAGAGTCTATAGAATAAGGACCACTCAATGTTGATCCAGTGCTAGCCACTGGGAAGCTTTTGGATGTTTCCTTAGTAGACTCTGGGGAACTTATTTGTCCACACCCCAAATTACTTCCTACAAATCATTTCATATTCATCTTACCAAAGATCTTATCAATGGAAGCATTTGAAGGGAGAGTGCAATTAAATATAGAAAACTGCCTCTTCAGTCTCTGGGGTATGTCATTGCGTCCTCCTCCAGGATGGATCATGGCTGCCAAAAACTGGATATCTACGATGCTTGTAAACTCCCCAGGTTTCTCAAGGTTGTAGAATCCATTTTGTTCCATCAGCTGCCGAACTATCTCATTGGTAACCTTAAAAAGACAATTCACAACATTAAAACATCTTATTCATCACACAGTTTCAGATACATATGCTGTCAAAATGATGGGCTCCAGGGTTAAAAAGGTTTAAAAATTTGAAAACAAATGCTTGCTTATGAAAATATGCTAAAAATTAGTTAGATCCTGACTTGAAAAAAAATCAGTCTGAAACTTACCTGATCTCCCCATTCATTGATTACAGGCATATTTACATCATCAATAAATACAGTCATCTTCTTTCCTGCTGGAGGGCCATATGTTGAGCCCATGCGTTTATCAACATAGCTCTCTATTGTCCGCTATGAAACAAAATAATCAACAGAAACATCTGTGAAAATATGAGCTGAAAGAGAATCGATCATAAAGAACTTCCTGGGAATATTTTCCATTAATATGAATTAGCCAATAAAACCCCAAATGCTACATATGCAAGCAAAAACACATCTGAAGTGTTTGAATTATCCCTATAACTTCTCCAGCTCTAATTTGAAAATCTGCCTTAATTTAGGAGGAAAAGGAATTTTGGCTTATGTGAAATTAGAATGTGCTTCAATCTCAATATTATATATTTATTTTCTCTTATTTTTTTCCTGTTTTGATGACAATATAACTTCTGTTATGTAAAGACTTGGGGTCAGCTCAGAGTTTTTCTATAATCAGTATTCAGTTAACCAGGGCTGATGGCCTGAAAGCTTTTAAGTCTGTACTCTGGGTGGCACAGCCTTTCAAAGTCTGCTGGCCAGCTTTCTCAATTAAGCAGACTGCCAGCTGGCTTGTGCAGGCCAGCAAAGTTAAATGAAGCTGCTTTTGTGCTCAGGGGTCTGGAAACATATGCAAACTCTATCACCACTATCCTCACTTTCACTCAAACCTAAACTAGAATAGATAGCAGTGTCCTAACTGAATCAAACTGCATACAATCCATAACTACTCAGAAAAGACTGGTCTAGCAATTCATATCAAAAAAGTCAAAATGGATAAAGAATTCCCAATGTCCAGATTATGGCATGTAGTTGACCAGGCAGTATACCAAAATAGTATAGCTATACATAAATATTTGCACAGGCATTGCAGATAGATAATGAACTAAGACCAAAAGTAAAAAGAATCAGAGAGCAGGCTGAATAGCATTTGGGGAACTGTATACCAGCACTTTCCTTGTGATATCATGTTAAAAATATGGATTATAATATCTATAGAATAAAAAAAAAATTCAAGTAACTCAAATAACAATGGAAAGATCTTGGCAGACAACATATTACCAGTGATGATTTTTATACCAGGAATTTCAGAAAAGATACAATCGAGGAAATATATATGATCAGAAAGGGGGGCAGATTGGTCATGTAGTGAGAAGAATACAGAATAGACTGACAGTCTAGGTGCTTTGAGATGTTTGGGTTTTTTTTTTGTTTTGGGGTTTTTTTTTAGGCAACTGGGGTTAAGTGACTTGTCCAGGGTCACACAGCTAGTAAGTGTCTAGTGTTTGGTCTGTGGCCGGATTTGAACTCAGTTCCTCCTGACTTCAGGGCTGGTGCTCTAGCCACTGAGCCACCTAGCTGCCCCTCAGTGCTTTGAAATGTTAAAAGACTTAGAAGATATCTGGCAAATTGGACAAATCAACTGCAAAGGATTTGTGAGAAGTCATGGTTAATGCAGGTATTAGAATGGAAGAAAAGCAAGCTCTTACAAGCACATTTACAGTGATTCTTCCAAACTCTGCCCTAGGACTATAAAAAAAGCCTCAAGACTTTTCTCTAAAGTTGATATTCACAGGAAAATGGGCATGATTAAACCAATCACTGTGTGAGTGATTAGAATTATTATATACTGGAATTTCATGAATGAGTGGAGTTCAGGTGATGTGTGTTTGTGTGTATATGTTTATACGATATAATCTATAAAAGGATGGACTTGCTAGTACAAGCTGTGAGTTAGTATGTATATCAATATAAGTGATGAGTTAGTAAATATCAATAGAAATGTGCAAAGGTAGAGATCTCTGGGCAAAATTTTTCTTGGTACCTTGTGAGGTTAAGGAAGGATGTGTATGAAAGTGGAATCAAATGAGGACTTCTGATAATCCAGGAGCTAGTGGAAGTAGAGCAGGAGGCAAAATTGGTCATTAAGGCTTACTCCGAAAATTCATAGGGAAAAGTAATATTCAATTCAATTCAACAAGATTTATTAAGCGTGTGCTAGGCATTATTGTAAGCATTAAGGAGACAAAGATGAAAATTACAACCATAGCTTCAGGGTGATTACATTCTCTTCATGTACATGTGACATTAAAAAGTAGATTTAAAAAATATATGAAGTCATTTCAGGGGGGACAAGGGCATCTCAGGCAAGCTTTGATGGCAGATGGCTCCTACCTATATAATTACCAATATAAGAAAGAATCCTAGAACTAGAATCAGTCTTCAGAGTGACAATCAGTAGCATAAAGAGGAAGCATTTACAGCTCTGCCAGATAAAATAGCACTATATTGGGTCCCTTATAAAAAGGAAAAGAGCAGACTGTGAAGAACCCAAGGAACCCAAGATCTCAATATAAGTGGGGAAAGGAGGACATTCATTGTAACGTAATAGGGAAATCTGTACCACAAAAAGAAATATTTAAATTAGTGAAAGCAACAATCAATTGAAGAATAATAAGGTAATATCTGGTTAAGACCTCACTCAATCAAGTAGTTACGTAGGAAATGGACCTACTGTTTTTACAGGGTGAGGAAATTTTCTCTACCAATGTAGGTTGGCACCTTCTCTCCCACTTACATTCTTTGAAAGTTGTCTAAAGCCGTGAAAAATAAACGACTTGCCCAGGATCACACAGCCAGTATGTGTCAGAAGCAGACCTTGAACACAGGTCTTTTCAGATCTGAACCTGACTCACTAGCTCCAGTGTCATGCTGCCTGGCAAATATGAAATGCTCCATGAATTTGTTTATCATCTTTGTGCAAGGCCAGTGCTAATCCACTCCCTATCATTCCGATTTTATTATATGGCCTGGAGAATCAAGCAGTTATTCAGCAAACATACATATTGCCTATTAATGCAGGGATACCAAAGACACATTTCTTGACCTCCAGGAGTGTGTAATCTTATTTAGGACTGCTATTTTCCCATATCTAAGCCCTATATCTATAGGTGACTTCATATTTTTAAATTATTTTATTTATGGTATATGATTACAAAGGAAAGCAAAGAAATGTAGAGTTCAGGGGGCAGCTAGGTGGCACGGTGGATAGAGCACCGGCCCTAGAGTCAGGAGGACTTGAGTTCAAATTTGGCCTCAGATACATAACACTTACTAGCTGTGTGACCCTGGGCAAGTCACTTAACCCCAATGCCTGGCCAAAAAACAAAACGTAGAGTTCAGGAAAAAAAATTTTTTAATCTCTTATTTCTTTATGAAGAACAAATAAATTAAAACTCGGTATTAGCCAGGATGCCACCAGTACTTATAAGAAAAGGATATTGTAAGGATTCAAATCCCAGCTCTTGGAAATCATTTCAGCTATGACATGTAACTTAAAAATATAAAAAAATCTACCATTATTTTTAATGTATAATAACAACCTACTCGGATTGTTTTCACAACATATTAAATTAAAAACAATTGTAGTAGAAAAATAAAACAATTCTCAATCATCAAAAATTCCCCCAATGGCAATGGTCCTGCAGCCTAGATAATTGTGCACTCTGCTTCCACCTTAAAAAAAAAGGAAATTATCAAAGTAGATCAGGCTGTGTCCAGTACTAATGGCAATGGACATTACGGCATACTGCAATTCACAGCATTCTGACATCTCTCCAACAAACTAGAGTCCATGAAACACTGATGCCTGGAAACAGGAGTGTAAAGTCTCTGCTTATCACACACACACACACACACACACACAAAGTTTTGTGTATTCTGGATGGGTCTGAGAATAGCTGGAAGTGGACAATAAGGTTACCATCCCAATTCCTACACTGGTAAATTCTCATTCATCTTCCCCTAATGTCACATCAAAAGTCCCAGGAGGATGAGGAGAAAATGCTACTAGGTTGTATTTGCCTGGGAAAGTCTAAAGTCAACAAAAGGAGAGGGAGATTAAGTGGCTCCTGGGCCTTCACACTTCATTTTCTGAATATTTAGTATCAACAGGAACCAGTTATTTGTCAAAGCATCCCAAGTGTCTGGAAAGATCTAGCAAATAAAGGAAATAAAGTAGCAACATCTTCAATAAAAGCAACTTCCTGCTTTGATATTCAGCAATGTTTGTTAAACTATACACAATAGGAGCTTACTAGATTTTTGTCATAAAAAAAAAACCCTGAATAATGACAGAGAATGAGGCAGGATTATCTAGTAGCAGGAGCACTGGTTCTGAAATCAGAGGACCTAAATTCAAATGCCACCCCTGACAATGAACACTCGCTTCACCTTGAATAAGTCACTTTACTTCCCTAGTACTTTGTTTCCTCATTCATAAAATGAGGAGGATTGGACCTCTGAGTTCCCTTCTAGTTCTAGCTCTGTGATCCTAACATCCTATGCCTTTAGGGTTATAGTCTATTGTAGAAGACTAGAATCTGATTGTTCGAATAGACCTTAGAATTCACAAAACCCAACTTCACATCAATGGCAAGACTCTATTGTGCAACATTCCTGTAACATCTAACCTTACTTGCAGTATACATTGTCTCTCCCTAGAGAAGTACTCTGATGGCAAAGACTGTTTACTTTTTGTCTTAGAGAGATAATGGGTTTCTAGGTCAGCAAACACAATTACAAGCACAACATGTTGTTGGGACAGTAAGAAAGATAGGCTGACTGAAATGGAGGAGAGGGGGAAGATGCTAGGAAAAACAGGCAAATATGTTTGTAAAGGAAAACTGGGATTTGATTATTGAGATCAAACAAAGGAGTTTAGACTTACTCAACCATAAAATATGCATGTTAGGCTAGATCAGAGGCTTTCAAGCTGGGTGTCCACAGATCTCCCAAGGGGTCTGTGGATAGATTTCATGGGATCTGTGACTTTAGATGGGAAAAATTACATCTTTATTTTTACTTGTCTCTAACTGAAGTTTCACATTTCCTTGAATTTTTTTTTTAAAAAATACATGATTCTGAGAATGACTCCATAGGATTCCCCAGACAAATAAAGACATACATGAAGGGAATAAGAGGACAAGCATTTATTAAGCACCCACCATATGCATACGCACTATGCTAAGCCCTTTACAAATATCTCATTTGATCTCCATGACACAAAAAAGAATAAAAAGCCCTGGATTAGATTATGTTTATGGTTTCTTCGAGTTCCAAATCTCCTTAAGTTTAAAAGTCAGAATAATTTGATAGGGTAGTCATCAAGGAGCCACTACAAATTTTTGGAGCTAGATGCACATTTTTGGAAAGTTAATTTGGGAGAGAGGTGCTGGACAACAAGGTTCCCATTTTTAGATGTGGACATTATAGGAATTTGTATTATTTGGCTACATACATTTGTTACAAGTGTTTTACTTTGCTTTTTTTTCTAGAAGGAAAGAAAATAAATAGTTGCTCATTGAAAAAAAAAACAAAAATTAGTTTGAAAAGAAAATTAATCTGGCAGTAGTGACAAGAATAACTGGAGTGAGTAGATACTAGAATCAAGAAGAGCAGATCAAAAGTTGTTGAAGTAGGCTTAATATGAGCCAATAAAGGTTTGGACTAAGGTGTCAACTTTGGAAATGAAACAGGAATAGATGCTAGAGACATTTCTAAGGAAGTATAAAAAAATTTGGTCATAGAGGATGAAATTGAAGGAAGAATCAAAGATAATTCCCATGTCTGTAGTCTAGAAGAACATGGGGGAAATGGAAATAGATAAAAGGAAAATATTTAGTCAAGAAAGGAAGCAGGTTTCAGTGGGAAATTTAATGAATTCATACTCATAGAATGTTATTGACAAAAAATACTTTAGAAATATTCTGGCCCATTACTCCAAAATTATCAGTTAAGTTTTATACATTCTGAGTTTAAGACAATAATGGTACACCTACCTGAAAATAACATTTTGTATGTACGCATGTCTGTATATAGCCTCTGAGGATATCAGGAGCACTGGGGCCTTTACCTTGTTCAGAGAAATTTCTGACTTCACTACAACTTAGGATTAGACATTACTAACATTCATAATAATATTTATATTGGATTTTAAAGTTTTTAAAGCACTTTACATGCATTATTATTTAAATCTTCTAACAGCTCTATGAGGTATGTACTATAGGTATTATCCCCATTTCACAGATGAGAAAATTGAGGCCCAAAAAGCTGATGTGATTGGCCCATAATCATATATCTAATAAGCACCAGAATAGGAATTCCAATTCAGGTCTTCTTGACTCATAGTTTAGAGTTCTCTCTCCTATAACATGATGCCTCTAAGATCCCCTAGCTAAAGAGTTTCTCTGGAGATTGCAACAAAGATTTTCACACCATAGGATACCAACCCCTGGAAGTTTTATTGCAAATGTTTGTAGAGGATTTCACAGGGTGAGAAGCTGAAGATGGCACCCACCTAGTAGGAAAGATACAGTAATCTGGGATACCATAAAAGAAAAAAAAATTAAGCTACTTACCCTGAATATACTCAAAGAAATATTTGGACTTATGAAAGTTTCAAATATAAACATGACCAAAAGAAAAGGTACCTGGAACATCAAGGGAGTAGTTGCTGAAGAAAAGTTCAAACTTTTGGCCATGTGACTTTCAGCATTATATTTTGACATAAATCCTTTGATAATAACGGTTTTAGCTGTTCCTTGCTCTCCAATTAACAATACAGCCTAAAAATAGAAGCCAAATAATCTGAGAAACATAATAAAATGACTGAAAGAGAAATCTTTCTCTTTGGTTGAAATCAAAATTAAGTTTTTCTCTCTCAATTTGTGCAAAATAATACATAATAATGAATGAGAAAAATGCAGGCCCAATATTACTGAACTATGGTATAATGAAACAATAGATTATTGTGGATATATTATTAATTTTTTCTAAATAGCAGCTCTAAAGTGGCTTAAATATAAAAACACTTTATATTTTCCAAAGCTGTTTCATTAAATACCACATGCCAAATTAGACTTGAATACTTCAAGAATCCATGGTTTCATCAGTGTGAATGTTAACTTCACTAATACTGATCACAACCATTCTACAACTCGGTAGATGCACTTCAAGAGTGACTGTGGCCAACAATTTGCCTTCCGGACAACCTGGAGATAAGCCTCTCATAACTTAGTGAGGTTGGTCCTCGGTTGACAAAGTCTGTTGCCAGGCCTGTCCTCTCACCTCTCAAGCCATGTGGAAGCTGCCAGAACCTATTTTTTTTTTTACTGGATTAGTCTTTTAACACCCCCAAGGAACCTGCATGCTACAATGAAGAGGTTGGTTCTCAGCTGACAAAGTCTGCTGCCTGGCCTATCCTCAGGCCTTTCAAGCCATGTGGAAGCTGCCAGATCTTATTTTCTCCTGGCTTGGCCTTAATACTCTGAGGAATCTCCATGCCACAATGAGTCATTGCAGTTAGGCTTCTGTTATACCAATTAAACAAAAAAAAGTCACAGAAATCATACCTTGCCTTGTTTAGCAATAGTTTTAATTAGAAAGTCAGTTCTCACATTGTCTACATTTGGCACCAAGATGGAGCCATATTCCGGAGTAAAGTCAGAAGGATAAACATATTCTTCAACACATGTGTTCCAGTGCATCCATTTACCTGATTAGAAAAGAGAAAATTAAAGTTTTCACAGCTAAAATAAATATATTTCATATGAAATACCACCTTTACCTAATTAATAATTTGTGCTTATCAAGACAATTTCTGAGCAATCAACATAAAACAAATATCATCAGTTTCAGAGGCATGAGTACATAAGTGATTAAGGAGGTGGCTCAAATTTACAAGGAGGAAGTACTAGGAAAATATGGCCTCAATAGAATTCTATTTGTTAAGATGAAATTCTCCTAGAATTTAAAATACATAAG